ATGCAGTCCAACATTGTTAAACCAGCGTAAGTGGATCATCTCTCTAACACAAGTGGGGAATTCTTTGAAACAAGCACAACTTTGGGTCCCCAGAAAATCAATACAGTGCTCTAACTTATGTGGAACCATGTGCTGACTCTACTCCACAAAAGAAATTTAACACTTTAAGAGCTCTGCGCAAAAAAATAAGTCACAGAGCAAAAAGTTTGTCGTTTCTATTTTATTTTCACTCTGATAGCACAAGATGCTGTGCAAAATATTGAGAATTCAATTTCATTGACTTGATATTTCAAAATCCAGAGCTGGAAAATTAGAACTAATTGTACTGTCTACTTTCTTAATGGGTCAAGTTTTATAAGTAATTATTTGATTCAACTCTCTCTCTCCATTTAGTACTTCAGTTTACAGGTAGGCATCCGGGTCAGATCTAAACACGGAACAAATTAGAGGAATTAACTTATGCGAAAAGAATTCACTGATGAGGCCTCATGGTTCGCCTTGAGTTCTTCTCATTGGTTAACAGGTTGAGCTTTATACTATTTTAAGATTAACATTTTTCGTTTATTTTTAGCTCAGTCAACCTCGTATTCAATCTCTTATGAATATAAATGTTGGCACCCGCAGCGCTGGACGACATCAAAAGAAAAAACAAATTAAAACGGGAAGACACTGGATCTTACCAGCTTAGTTACACGCTTACTTAACGGCACCGTGTCTCTTTAAATTTATTCACAACGCAAGTTGTAGTCCATTATTGTGTCTCCTGTCAACAGCTTAAGACATCTGGCTCAACTTGTGCATAAATAATCTGAATGCATTGTTAAATGCTTAGCTCATGCTCTGTAAAACCGTTCACAGTACGACCACCAGCTTTCGGAAAAACTTAAGAATTCATTCTGACTAACCATACATTTTCTAATCAAAGATCAAGACTTGAGAAGGAAAACAATGACTCGTTCTAATTTTCACTTCTCGAGATGGGGAACTTTTTCCATTTTGTTGGTCTAATTTACGGTATTGACTTTTCAATTTGGCGCTCAGAATATGAACCACTTCTATCGTTCTCCATTCTTCAGGTAGTTTTTCTGGGTTTTTTTCCTTCAGTTCCTTTAATCTTCACCGTAAGTCGCTTAGAAGCAGATGCAATCCAGTCGCACCCGAAATAGGGGAAAACATAGGGAGGAAAGACAGATAAAATAGTTTGCCTAGGGGATCGTGTGCAACAAGTGTTTTCCTTTGGCTTTAGGCTTATGTTATCTCTTTTTCTTAGGATGATCTGTGTGGCAGAAGCACAGATGTAGCATGGAGTCATGTTCGTTCTCAAGAACATTGATCACATGGTCACCTGTTTGAAGACATTGCGCAAGAAAACCGAGCCATCCTGGGTACGAACACGAGTGATGGGATTTTTCCCACTGTTCCTCTCCTAGTTTTCTTTTCCTATTTTTCATTCCTTTTCTGTCAAACCCTCAACATAGCTTTAGATTAATTTCTGGCTCGAGTCAAATAATCCTATTAGTCCTTTCTTTATTTCTTCATGCTTTTTGGAAAAATGACAAATGGCAAATCTGAGTCAATTCTCAGACTACTGCAATGGCAGATTAAAATCTTTTTAATCCGGATGTTTGCCACTTATATTTTTTACTTTGCAACAGATTTCAGTGAAACTTGGAAGAATTAATGTCTTCTTGATCACCATACAGGAGTTTTTTGGTATTGTTTCATAAAAAATCGAAAAATATATAAATATATATTGGTCACTTTTATGGTACTGTGGGATCACCTGCTGTACAACTTACTTAATAACATTTCAGAGTTTTATCCTCTTTTGAAGTCTTTTGATTCTTTTTTGCAAAACAAAGGAGCTTTACAAAATGTGCAGAGTATGGAAGAGTTTTTGTGAAGTGAGAGTTGCAAAAAAGATGTAGATGTTTTTACAAACTGTATATAGCAGAAAGAAATCAACGAAAAAAAGGGGAGAGGTAAACATTGTGCCCGGCAAGAAAAATGAGGTAGCAAAAAGAGAAAAATTTTGAATAACTGTACTTTATAACATTTTAATTTGTACAAGTATAACTTCTCTGAATCAATTTTATTAAAATTTTCTTTTCATACAGAATTAACATTATTGTCTTATCATATCACAACTGATGATAACAGGCATTTTGTTTCTAACATAGTGTTAAATCATAACCACTAACTACTAAAAAACATTTCCCTCACTAGTTTCATAGTATCATCTGGTGATGTCACTTTGTGTCCTTCAGTTCGCTCATCCATGTAGATTTCATAATCATTCCCTCCCTATAGCAAGGTGGAAAAAGAACAAAAGTTCATCAGTACTTTGAGCACATTTTATTGATCTTGCTGTCAAGTCATCCTGATAAGAGGAGTCCCAAACATGCCTTGCTGTGACCTTGACTGGCATTTTCCAACCTAAATGGAAGTCATCATCAGGGTCAAATAACCTCTGCAAAGGTTATCAAAATCAGTGTTATTGATAACAAACCTTTTCAGGACTACTCTCACCTGGACAGTTAGACTACCTGATAAAAGTGAAGTATCTCTAGAGGTATGAGATATGTTAGAAACATTCTTGAAAGAAAACAAGAAAAAAGAGGAGTATTCATACATAGCACCTTTAACAACTGAGATACAGAAGCAGTTACCTCATAGCATTTGTCCCCAAAGAAATGAATTTTTTGGTAACCATCACCTTCAACATGTCTCAGGCAATATGTTTTGTCCCAGCCTTTTGGAAAGACATCAAAACTTATCTGACCTCCTATACTGATATGGAGTCCATAATCAGAAAATTTTTCCCGCAAAATTGACACAAACTTTTCCCTAACTTTGTGTTCCTGTGGAAACAACAGATCACAACCATAAAAACCTTACAAAAATATTGCTGGCATTTATAACTAACATTAAATTACAGAAGGTAAGGGGACTTTTATCCTTTAAGACAAGTCACCTATGATGCAAACCAGGTAGACACACTCTTTTTCACTGATAACACTTTTAAGCTTTGTTACATGCAAGTGTGACCTACACATTGGGAATGTGATCCTTATTCTGAAAAACACTAATGATTGATAACATCTAAAACAGCATCAGAATTTTAATTCCACCAAAAAAGTCTTTTTGAAAATATATGCAGTCATGCAGTTTTTGGTTTCATACTCTGTACCATGATGAGAACAGAGATGGTAAAATTTTGTAAGAAGTGGCTAGTACATTACACCAGCCCATTTTTCCAACCAAAACAAGACAGCAAATGACATTCTTAGAATACCTTATCGTACTCAAAGAAGGCTATCCTTTCTTCTTGGGAGCAGTTTCGTCCAATAGGTGACACATTTAACATGCCACTTCGAAACTCAATGAAAGTTCCCCTAAAAATAAAATGAGATTTAATAAACAAGAGGTAATTGAGGTACAAGATACTCTTGAGTCAAAACTTTTTGCAATGTTTGACAAAAGTATGTAGCTTGAAACAGATTTCTAATCTCTTATATTGTAACTTCACTTGTTGCTTCTCAATGAGTATAACATTAAATAGTGATTCTCTCTATATCAATCCCAAAAGTAAATGCTCTGTGGATCATAAATTTATAAAAACACAGAGGAAATAAAAATAGCATACATTTTGAAAAGGAATGTATATAGAAACTTTACCTCTTCATAGGAATGTCCAGGTCAGCAATATATTTTAAGCAGAAATTGATGAAAGTCTTAAGCTTTGCTTCACCCATAAATTCCTTGATACTCTGTACACATAACCATGTAACAAAATATAAATAAGTACAAAGATTTAGTACAAAGAACAATAACCAATTCCTAAACAACCCATCTCTTATACTTTAAAAATATGATACCTGTGTTCCCTTTATGGTCTTACAGGGGATAAGTTGCACTTTGAAAGGTATAATTTTGGGAGTTTTAAACATATTTCACAAGATACTCTTCAAAGGTTTTATTCCTTGGAGTGTTGGATGATAAGATGAATTGGAAGTGCTATACATT